TGTCTTTGTTTTGCTTGGCATGATGTGTATTTGTGGGTATGAAGGTGTCTCATGCACCAGCTTGGAAACAGCACAACAATAAATTGAAAGAGTTTTTCTGGAGGTGAAAAAAAAAAAATTAGTAAGACTGACATGCATGAAAACCCACAGAAGTAGGTAGTGCAGTGACTGGCACTTGATGCAGTTAGTTCTTAGGTCAGCCATCAGTTTCTGTAGTAGTAACAAGTGAAGAGATTTAGCAAATGATCAACCCTAAGTTTATCTTCCTGTCACCTAGTCACACAAACTTTCACCTTAAATCCTTATGAGGGTCCCTTCGGTTGTGTGTGTTTAGGAAAAGAACAGAAATGAGACAGTCTTTGCTTCAGTGCCCTCTTGTGGTTTCATGTATTGACAGAGTAAAACTTAACTACTACTAATAAAAGATATAGTAAGTATTAATGCTCAAAGTGTAATCGGACAGACCATCCCTTTCAACTTGTTGTTTGTTTTGCACTGGTTATTCTATATATGTTGTGTATTGGTCTTATGCAGTTGTGGGAATATTGCAGATAGAAGGGCTGGACACTTGGGGAACATTAATGTTATGTTTCAAATGACTGACTAATCTTTGCCTTCTCTTGCTTTGTCTGCACAGCTTATTTGTGCTTAGAATGGTCAAAATTAGAGGTACAAGGTAAAATGAAAAGATTTTCGAGACAAATCAGAAACACCCACGTATTTATATTTTGCTCAGGTAAAAGCATATTGTCATATATGTGTCTGTATTGATACATGATAATCTCTATCCTTATTATCCATCAGTTGATTTTTGTGCCTAATTACCTACAAACTTGCTTTCTGTGGTTCTGTAGTACAGTCTCAGAGGTTGAACCCGGTGATCTCAAAGGTTGGAGTTGATCATCTCAGAGGTCTTTTCCAGCCTAAATGATTCTGTGATCATTTTTCAATGGGTGCATTGGACTTGCATGGACTGTGCTTTGAAGTGATCATTGAGCAGCCTAGCTTATCTTGTCAGCCTTAAAACAGAGATCTGTAAGAGGGTGGATGATTTAGTTACTGGATTTTGCAGCAAGTTTCTGTTGAGTGCAAAGGATTGGTGTTGCTTGTTTCAAAGAATTGTGAAAAACAGCCCTAACAACCAGCACTGTGCTTAACAAGCGAACCTTTTAAGTCTTATTGATTGCTGGAGTGCTGCATCCAGCTCTGGGGTCCCCAGCTCAGAAAGGACATCAGCCTGTTGAGTGGAGAGGAGGGCAACCAAAATGATTACAAGGAAGGGTTGAGAGAATTAGGATTGTTCACCCTGGAAAAGAGAGGGCTTCAGGGTGACCGAATTGCAGCCTTCCAGTACCTGAAGGGGGCCTCCAGGAAAGATGGAGAGAGAATATTTACAAAGGCAGGTAGTGACAGGACAAGGGTAACAGTTTCAAACTGAAAGGGACAGGTTTAGATTAGATATTAGGAAAAAAAATTTACGGTGAGGGTTTTGAGGCACGGAAACAGGTGTCCCAGAGAAGTTATGGATGCAACATCCCTAAAAGTGCTCAAGACAGGATGGATGGGGCTCTGAGCAACCTGTTCTAGGGGAAGATAACCCTGCCCATGGTAAAGGGGTTGCAATGAGATGACCTTTAAGGTCCCTTCCAACCCAAGCCCAACATGATTCTATGACTCACTTGGGCAAGGGGCACCAGGGAACAAATCCTTATGTTCCCACTCTCTCTCTGATAGTTGCTGTGAAATTTTGTTTAATTTAAAAATGGAGTCTGACCAAGCTGTGTTTCAAATGCCAGACGTCAGACTTTATTTATTTGGGGCCTTTTAGAAATTGTTTATAAAAGATAGTGTGGGCAGAGCCTCTTAAGCTCTGGCTTAGTTGGGATTTCTCTTTGCAGTTAATTGGAATTTAGAACAGCAAAAAGGCAAATATTTGAAACATGCTGGGGGTGTTATGTGGTGATTCAGCCATAGTAGTCCTTACAATGGGAAAGAACAAGGAATGCTATTTCCTGAGGAGCTAGGAAACAGCAAATCTTAGAGGGAGGCTAAAGCTAGTGCTATAGTTTAGCTTCATTTAATATATCCAACCCAAAACCTCAGTGTCTGAGGAATAAACTGTTCAAG